AATATAGATTTCAATAATCTGAAATTTTGATCGATAATTGGCTACTTATTCGATTTATCACCTGCATTATTAATAGGTATCCAAAATATTTACAACTTCGCCCGCAGGTGTTGTCGTTTCTCGCTGTTCTTAAAATTCAATTTCTCTTTACATACAGGAGAAATTCTGTTCAATGCTACTAGTTTTCCATTCTGATGATCATTCTTCAACGTTGTTATCGATTTCCTGAACTAGTAAGATTTCCATCGTATTCAATATAACTGCTTCATACGTAAACATTCAGTTACTTTCGGGGTTAACTTCTTTTTCACCTTCACCATCGCCTTCCTCGCGTGTCATGCCTTCTATTGGAGCTGGTGTATCTTCTACACTGGTAATATTACTGGGTGGCAGTTGCCCTGAAGGTACTGAGGATGGCACGGATGGTGGACCATTTTGAGCTGCTCCTTGTGGGAATCCCGTTTCTGCAGAGACTAAGTGTGATGGCATATGAGGTGAAGCTGTTTGAGATTTTCTACTTTTCTCGCCTTTTCTCCACAGTGTTATTTCCTAACAAATAAAACGACACAATTATGCGTATTCCTTTATATAATAATGTATAAAGTGTATCAATCAATTTTCAAACTAACTTGCTGTTTGAAGTATCTGCGATCTTCCTCATCCATAAGGACTAAATTAAGATAGTATCTAACACTAAATTTCTTATTAATGTCACGCATTGTGGGTGCTAAATCATACCCTGCTAGAAATACTCTTATTGGAATAGATTCACCACGGACCGGTGCTCCATCCATTATTTCATACTTGGCTATTGTTTCATTCTCCGTGAATGTATGTGGTCCTTCAAATATGTATTCTAATTATTACTTTGGTACATTAAGTTGCAGAAAATGAATATTGAAAAAACAAAACACTTTCTCCAATATGCATGAAGATTCATAAAAGCTTTGAAATTATAACAATGACTGTAACTATCTTTGTCTAAGTGAAAGAAAGAAAGTATACAATACCAGAACCTGTAGTCTCCCGTTTTATTATGGCAATTTCCATATGTTTGATTTTTATTCTAACCAAAAGAAAATATATTTTTCCAACGATGACATCTTTTAAATGATATCTGGAAAGAAATTTTGAGTATTTAAGATTATTGGGAAACATACTTTTATGAAAAAAGGTGCAACATATATATGATAAAATAACTTACTTGCTTTTATTATACTCAAATTCGATATGCAGACAGTCTTCAATTCCAACTTCCATCTTAATAGGATTATTCATATCAGGGTAGGAACTAAGAGTGTGCACGACTAATTCAAGTTCTTTAACAATATCACTAAGTCTTCGGACAATTGTCACTTTCAGGGAATATCTTAGCCGCACATTAGACCCTGTATAACTTTCAAATGGTTTTTCTACATTGGCAAACTCAAAAGTGTATACAGTGTTATGCGTCAATTCACCTGGCCTGGCTAATTCCTTAACCAGGCTTGTGAATTCTTGACGATTCGCTCTATCGTAATATAATTCTATCTGTCCAATAAATTCTACTTTTACACCCTGATGTTCTAATTTACCAGCTTTCCTAAGGCTAATATTGATCTGAAATTAATAATATGGAGAAAAATTAATAATAACTATTGGCTAAGTAGTTACATTATAACTTGCGTACATATAATACGTTTGTGTTACATAAAACATACATATAGATATATACATGTACGTATACATGCAGTCAGGAATTAAATGATGAAATATATAAAAAAAGAATTCTTTTGGAATTGCAATAAGCAAATTGTTATACGGTACAACGCAATTGAATGCCTTGAAACTACATTTACCACTTCAATATGCTTGAAGTATACAATCAACTGTTGTACGGAGTAGACGATATTCTCCTTCAATGCTTATACCTTTATAATGATAGTATTTTATTTAAAAACCACTTTTACCTTTCCAGAGACCGTTTCCCCATCATAGTATAACAAGTGGCGCTCTTTTTTTCCATCTTCGGATTTGATGTCTGCAGACTTTCTGGTTTCTGCACCATCCAAAGTAATTTCTATGTCAGCCGATTGGCCGAATCCAAAGAAACTCTACGAAGGAAATCACGTTAAATAACGAAAGAAATCGTGAAAATTTAACAACGAACGAGTCTGCATGTTCCTAAGATAGGCTATCTATTAATCAAGGCATTAACATACCATTTTCCGTAAAAAAGAATAACCTTGTACAAATGATCACACGTGTCACAGTAATTGTGGTCGCGGTGATAACAGCAGTATGAGAAATCAATGAAAAATTCTAGAAGGCAACATTTTTTTCGTATAGAAACGAGAAAAGTTGAGTTATTTTTTGCTTGCTTCCTCCCAAAAGTCACAAGTAGCCAATATGGCTGCACACTACGGCCCCCACCCTACGTCGTGTACTGTCAAACTTGCAGTCGCGTGCAAGAACACGACGGACGGACGATTGATACCGGTGCTAGCTAGTATTATTTACAATCCATTCTTATTCACTTTGAACTATCCACGAGTTTAATTGGATAACGCTGCGCGCTTGCTAGTTGCGAGTACCATCATTGAAAACATCTGCCCCGTTCGAATGCCAGGTGCGTTCGTAATACCGTTCAATGGCGAATATCGGTGACGTTTAGAAACCGCACTATCGTAATCTACACGTGATAACGTGTTCAAGTTCCATTTGTAGTTCGTATACTTTGCAATATATTTGAACCGTTATGAGGGAACGTTCGCTGGATATTTAATGATAACCCCTAACAAGCGGCGTGATTGTTTATTAATGGATGGACCTGCTCAGGCCAATTACGCGGAGGTGACAACAGAAAAATCAATTTGTGTTACTCGATATTCATTGTATGTATTATACAAATTTTCGAAGGAAATATAATAAAGAAAATTTGAATGAATGGCAATATGTGTTGTTCAGTTACTACAAGCCTAAGCGCTGTAGTGTAAGTACAATTACTTTGTAGTAGGTTATATTTAAGTTTTCCTGAAAGTCGGCCTCTCGTTAATTTCTGTCACTTTTGATGTAAGGTGTCATATTACCTGATTCATTCGTATCTTAATCTTTATTTCAGGCACTGAACTATGATTATATTAATCAGTGTTATTTGTGTCTTCGTATAATTAATGTTTAAGGATATTGTTGATAATTTTAAATCATGGATTATGATTATATCACCTTTCAGAGAGAAAGGGATGTTCATAATAAATGTTATGGTGGAAGATTATGGTGTATTAAAGTATGTACAAATAAATTATTAATAGTTTTCTATCATTTTATGACAACCTTTGATATCTTTGTTATTTATAGGACATTTGTGGAATTATATGTGCAGTTTTAACATGGCTGTTAATAATATATGCAGAATTTGTTGTGATGGCAGTAATCCTTATTCCTACAATAAATACTTTATATTCTGGTCTAAATACAGCAATATTTCAATCGTTAACTTTCTTAGCTTTTGCATCTCATTTAAGAACAATGTTCACAGATCCAGTAAGTAAAAATAAAATATTATTAATAGAAGCAAGTAGTTGTTTTTAACCACTGCTTTTACAGGGTGCTGTTCCAAAAGGTAATGCAACTAAAGAAATGATAGAACAAATGGGATTTAGAGATGGACAAGTCATTTTTAAATGTCCAAAGTGTTGCTCTATTAAGCCTGATAGAGCACATCATTGTTCTGTTTGCCAAAGGTAATCTTTTTTATATAACACATTATCATTTTATATTATTAAAATTGAATAACAACTGATTTTCCAAATTTCCATTTATAGATGTATTAGAAAAATGGACCACCATTGTCCATGGGTGAATAATTGTGTAGGGGAAAATAATCAAAAGTATTTTGTACTCTTTACAGTGAGTATTGCTGGATGCTTGAGGTTGGATTGGATATAAATTAATTTTTATCAAATCTATTTTAGTTCTACATAGCAGGAATGTCGTTGCAATCCTTATTCTTATGTATACAACAATTCACAACATGTGTGAGACAAGAATGGAAAGAATGTTCTACATTTAGTCCACCGGCAACAGTGGTGCTTTTACTTTTTTTGGCTTGCGAAGCACTTCTCTTTGCCATTTTTACTGCTGTAATGTTGGGAACACAATTACAAGCTATTTGGAATGACGAAACTGTATGTAATTAGTTGTATACAATAACAAAGAAAATTTATTCAAACTTTAAGGACTGTGCTTTGTTATGTAATTGTTTGTAGGGTATTGAACAACTTAAGAAAGAAGAAGCTAGATGGGTTCGTAATAGTAAATGGAAATCTATACAGGCTGTCTTTGGAAGGTTTTCAATTGCGTGGTTCTCACCTTTTACTTCACCTCCAAAGTGCAAAACAAAGCTAGATTCTTATTTATATTCGGTGTAATGTATTCGGATTTATGGCCGCAACCTAGGAATATTTAATATATGTAAATATGAACTATATATATATATTATATATAGTTATATGTGTACCTATGACGTATCATGAAGTCATGTACAACTGAATAGAATGTTTGTAATTTTATACCACTATCTAAAGATTTCAATTTATTGCGACCATATTCGAAAAGTACTTAAAAATGCGTGTAGCATTTAATATATATATACATATTTTAATTATGAAAGCAAATATTTGTAAACTACTGAGCATACTACACAGTATGCTTGTTGTAAAACTTCTTGTATTTAGATATTGGTATCGTTGTATTGTGCTAGTGGGTTGACTAAAATTTTTTAAATGTTTTACCCGTGATATGTGGAACGCGTTTATTGTATCAACATAACTGGCATCGCAAGCATTATCATATAACTATACGTGGCAAAGAATACATGACATTAATTTCGAAATCGAGGCTTAGCACTCTTCGTATAATGTACAGTGCACATTGTGATATGTAGCGCATTACATTTCGGTAATAATGTAGTTTATTTATTGTACTTCTGATGAAACTCCGTATTTCAGAGTCAACTACAGTTTTGCTTTATCGCGATTCATCATATCAAATTTTGACCAGACAATAATGTCGCGGATCCAGTGATTTACAACCGCTACAGGTTTCCATGAGATGTCTCATGTCTCGAACAAAGCATAATATATAATTTAATTCCATTTCCTTACTCAATTCAATTTTGTATTTACATGAAGATACCTGATTTTTTGTATAAATAAATTGTTGTACAGTTTCTTATAATTACCAGTGGTATTTTTTATTACATACTTTCAACTGACGTTGTTCAAGTACTTCAATCCCAACGTTGAAATTTAAATACCCGTTCATTTAATTACCTAATAGCTTACAGCACAAAAAATCTACTTCACATGCAAATATGATGGTTTAAGTCTCACAAACGA